CTCTCTCTCTCAGCAGGGTCTCTCTACATAGCCCTGGCTGTCCTGGAACTCACTCTGTAGCATCCATCTCTGCCTCCTGAGTGCCAGGACTAAAAGTGTGCACCACCAGGTCGGGCCATGCCTGGCCTTTTACAGGGGTTCTGGCTGGGGCTTTGAACATAGGCGCTCATGCTTGTGTGTCACGTGATTTTAACCTGCTGAGCCATCCCCCTAGCCCTTTGTCTTCATGTGAGTTCCCCCTTTTTTTTTAACTCCTTAAAGAAAAGTAACAATTCAATCCTGCATTCAAACAGTCCTATTCCAAAGGTTGGTCGAGTCCCATTCCATTTCACGGATACAAGCTGTCCCTGGAGCCACCATTGCCCATTCTGCAGGCTGGACTTTGACCTGTTTTGACCAGTCTCACTCCGGAGGGCTCTTCCTGGAAGAATTGTGGATGCTCTGCTGTCAGTCAGGTGTCTTAGGGAATTTCTCCCACTTTTCCCGCAACAGGACGTGCTCCTTTGCTAGCAGCTGGAGCTGAGGAGCTGGGCAGCTGTCCTGTACGGCAGTGGTTTCTCAACCGGTGGGTCGCAACCCCTCTGGGAGGTCCAACAACCCTTTCACAAGGGTCGCTTGAGACCATTGGAAAACACAGAGATTTACATTAGGATTCATAACAGTAGCAAAATCACAGTGATGAAGTAGCAACGAAGATAATGTTATGGCTGGAGGTCACCCCAGCCTGAGGAACTGTGTAAGGGGTTGCCGTGTTAGGAAGGGTGAGGAGCACCGCTCTAAGGAACTCCTCTCCTGGATGCTGCTAACTGTGCTCTTCATTGCCCATTGACTTCCAAGCAATAGGCGCATCTCCTAGGAGAGGAGAGAACGTCACAACATTTCTGCATTTGCTCCCACTGGTCACTGCCTGTCCTAGTGCTTGGACTGCTGCACGCACAGTGGCGGTTACTAGTGAGGTTATCCTGTGCCAAAGGTACCACGATATGGCATTGTGTCAAAGGACTTAAGAATTCTAAAACTTTCTACAAACCTAAATAGGCCAGTCGAAACCTTCAGGGGAACATTGTTATCAATTTAAATGAGACATGACCCCTCTAGGCTCCCGTGTTTGGACACGTGGTCCCTAGTTGGTGGTGCTGTTTGGCGAGGTGGTGCAGCCTGCTGGAGGAAGTACGTCATTGGGGGTGGGCTTTGAGAGTTCAGAGCCGCACCCTACTTCTGGTTTGCGCTGTCTGCTTCGCGCTTGTGGTTGAAGACGTGAGCGCTCCCCTTCCTGCTCCTGCAGCCCTGCCTGCTGCTTGCGGCCACGCCTCTACGCCTCTGGAAGTGCAAGGCTAGATACACTTCTTCTTCTTTGAGTTGCCTGTTACGGTACTTCATCGCAGGAGTAGGAGAGTAACACAGACATGTTCTGAGGAAGCAGGACAAAGGCCAGGGCACAGGTGGGCGTGTGCCCGAAAGCGCTGTGTCGTTTATCACCTGAGCTGTGCACTCCACGGAGCTGTGGCTTGAGCGTTCAGTTGCCCCGCCTCTCTCAGGCAAATCTTAACACAGATCGTTTTACCCTTGAGTTGTGTACTAGATGCAGTTGAAAACTTCAAAGGGTGCTGGCTACAACAGCCTACCTCTGTGCTGTGGAGGCTGAACCTAGATTCCTCCTCCTACTTATTCTCTCTGCCCACCAGCCACACCTACCCCTCCACTGCCTAGATAATGGCTGTTCAGCTTTTTATTAGACCAATCAGATGCCTTTGGCATGCAAGGTAAAACAGCAACCCATCTTTACATAATTAAACAAATGAAGCATAAACAAATGTAACACACCTTTACATAGTTAAGGTAATTTCCACAACACCTGGGTTTGGTTCCCAGCAGCTCTGTCAGGTGGCTCATGACACTTGTAACTTCCGTCCCAGGGCATCTGGCCTCCAAGGACACCTTCACTCACTGACATAACACATAGCTAGCCAACACATACTATTAGCCCTAACTCTCTAATACTGAAGAGACCAAGAAAGTGGCTGAGTTGGAAATGGGATTGTTCTAGGCCTGTTTCCCCTGGCTTATCAAATTTCTATTAAATTAAATTAATGTATGTGTGTGTGATACGTGTTTGTTCATGTGCATACGTGTCCTTGTGTGTATTCTTGTGGGTGTGTGCATGCATCAGTCAGAGGACAGCCTCTAGTGTTGGGTCCTCACCTTCCACCTTGTTTACAACAGTGTGTCTTGTTGCTTTCAACGGTATACACCAGGCTTGCTGGCCACTGAGCTTTTGGGCATTCTCCTGTCTCTATGTCCCCATTTCTCCACAGGAGCATTGGGGTTACAGATGCATGCTGCCATGTCTGGCTTTATGTGGCTTGTGGGGATTTGCAAACACTTTACCCACATCTCCTCAGTCATTATACTTTGACATTTTATTTTTATTACGTTTTATCTGTGTATGCACACGTGTGTCAGTGTGTCACACTTTGAGGTCAGAGGACAACTTTTGGGAATTGGTTCTTTTCCTCAACTTTGTAGGTCCTGGGGATATAATGTAAGTTCTAGAAAGTCCCTTTATTCTCTGAGCGGCCTAGCTGATCTGCTAATGTTTTATTTTGAAAGTATTATTACTCTCATGGGATTAAACCCAGAACTTCATGGATACTAGGCACAAGAACTCCCCCACAGAGTTACATTTCCAACCCTTTATTATTTTTTTTCTTAAATGTGAAAAAAATTAAAAACTAACCTGCTGCCAATCTTCAAGGAAAATGGATTCCCAGATTAGAAAGTTGTGTTTCTCTGTGGTTTCGTATACAGCAGGTGCATAATTATGAGAGTCTGGTTCCCGTTAGTCTGGAAAGCATGAGGCTGGAGAAACAAAGAGACCGGTAAGCTGTTGTGGCAGAGCAGAGATCCCTCAGTCTGCAGTGCGAGAGGACTCTGGGTGAGACGCATGGTGTGGACAGGAAGCTTTGGTGTGAGTCCTTTCTGTGTGTCCATCTGCAGATAAAGATGAGTGCCAGTTTGGAGCCACTGTGATCTGTGGGAACCACACATCCTGCCACAACACCCCTGGAGGGTTCTACTGCGTTTGCCACAAAGGCTACCGAGCTACAAACAACAACAAGACATTCATTCCCAACGATGGCACCTTCTGTACAGGTACTAGAGGGGCTGTGGCGACGGCCACTTGGTGTTGACACAGCACTTGATGAGTGGAGGGTAGAATCACGGTGGAAAGCCTTGACCCTGGACATAGACTAAGTAGTATTAGTCAGCATTAGAGAATTAATATTATGGGTTGGCTAGCTTTATGTCAGTTTGACACAACTTAGAGTCATTTGGGAAGAGAAAACCTCAGTTGAAAAAAAATGCCTCCATGCCGGGCAGTGATGGCGCACGCCTTTAATCCCAGCACTCAGGAGGCAGAGGCAGGCGGATCTCTGTGAGTTCGAGGCCAGCCTGGTGTACAAAGCGAGTTACAAGGAAGGTGCAAAGCTACACAGTGAAACCCTGTCTCGGAAAAAAAAAAAATGCCTCCATAAGACTGGCTTATAGGAAAAACGTGTTAGGCATTTTTTTGGATTAATGATTGATGTGGATGGTGCCACCCCAGGGCAGATGATCCTGGTTGTTATTAGAAAGCAGGCTAAGCAAGCCATGGGGAGCAAGCCAGTAAGCAGCATCCTCCATGGCCTCTGCATCAGCTCCTGCCTCCAGGTTCCTACCCTGACTTCTCTCAGGGATGGAGTATAAACTGAGAATTGTAAGATAAAATAACTCTCTCCTTCCCAAGCTATTGTTTGTGGCCATGCTGTTTTATCAGAGCAATAGAAACCCCAATGAAGACATGCTGTTAGATGGGCTAATGGTATTGTGGTCTATAGAACGTTATTATTTTGAAAGATGTTGAATTGTCTGGGGCATTATTATGAAGTGTTTGGTGTTATGATTTCTGTGAACAGTTTTAAATGACAAAATGTGAACACTGATTGGATAATTTATGCTTTTTGGAGGGTGGGTGTCTGATAATTGATTTACTGTTTTTCTAGTTTTCTGGGTTTAAACATTTAAAATTTATTATATGTGTTTATGTGTGTTCATGTGTGCGTGTATGATGTATATGTGTATGGTGTGTGTGTGTGTGTGTGTGTGTGTGTGTGAGAGAGAGAGAGAGAGAGAGAGAGAATAGGCCTGTGTGCATATGTGTGTGTGTGTGTGTGTGTGTGTGTGTGTGTGTGTGTGTGTGTGTGTTGTGGGGAGGATGTCAGAGAACTACCTTCGGAGTTCTATTCTTTTCCTGTTGGTCGTGGGGATTGAACTCAGGTTATTAGGCTTGAGCAGTAGGTTCTCATACCCACTGAGCCATCTTGCTGGCTTGTGTTTAAACCTTTTTATAATGAACCATGAGGCTGGCCTCTCTGGAGACCGTGTGCCAGGTACATGTTCCTGTAACTAAGCACAGCACCCACTAAATGCCAAGGGTTTCTGTGCCTCATAGGAGGTCTAAGCATTGTCACGAAGAGGACTTGCCAACACAGGCTCCGCTGAGTTAGGAATGTGACTTTTGGCACCACAGTAATCTTGTTGGTGAGATTCCTGGGCATATGTTGGTTGAATGGAAGCCATGAGAAAAGCCCTCCTGATGTTCGTGACTCTGGGCGAGCTCTGTTTCTAGGTAGCATATCCTGATAATACAGCTCTTCAGCTTTCTCAGGTCCCTGAACAGTCAGTCACAAAGGTGAGAGACCAGAAACTCCTCGTGGTTCTGAGATGCTTGACATAGAAGCTATGGCTGTTTAAAAGCTTTGTGGTATTTCCTGGTTTTCAGGGAAGGAAGGAAAGCAGAGCATGTTTGATATTTCTATGGCTAGGAACCGCAGCTTCTGGCCTCTGCCATTCTGCTTGACCTGTGCCAAGATGAAATTCCTGGAAGGATACATTCATTCATTCAGCTTTTTCTTACCAAGAACTAGAATATTGTCTCGGAGAACACATTGTATCCAGTGTCATGTTGTCTTTGCAACAAATTCCTGCTCTGTGGTTTTAAAACTGTGATGCTGGGTGGTGGCTCACGCCTTTAATCCCAGCACTCGGGAGGCAGAGCCAGGTGGATCTCTGTGAGTTCAAGGTCAGCCTAGTCTACAGAGCAAGATCCAGGACAGGCACCAAAACTACACAGAGAAATCCTGTCTTGAAAAATCAACAAAACAAAACAAAACAAAACTGTGATGTTGCCATATTATAAGAAGAGTTGCACATTATAAGAAGAGTTGCTTTTTTTTTTTTTTTTTTTTTTTTTTGAGACAAGATTTCTCTGTGTAGCTCTGACTGTTCTGGAACTTATTCTGGAACTCACTCCATAGACTAGGCTGTCCTCAAACTCAGAGATATGCCTGCCTCTGCCTCCTTAGTGCTGGGATTAAAGGTGTGCAACACTATGCCCGGTGAGATGCTGATTTTAAAAACCGTGTATGATGATTATCTATTATCAAGCTCACTTAGATACATTTCTAATGGTTTTCTTCTCTGCCAAGGAAGTACCAGTGGAAGATGACAGGCAGACAATTAATTTTCCTGTCACGGTGTTAGTGAAAAGTGATCAAAGGTGTTATCTGGAATCCAAGGGTGGCCCTTATCTTAGCAGTGAGGAAGAGACCTGGGGATGGTCCAGGAGACATGATACCTGAGATTGCTCTTTAAAAACTGCATCAGTATTGTTTTGAAGGATGCATTCAACTTTTAAAAGTTAGATGAATGGCCAGGTGTGGTGGTGCACACCTTTAACCTTAGCACTTGAGAGGAAGAGGCAGGTGGATCTCTGTGAGTTCCAGGCCAGGCAAAGCCACACTACACAGTGAGTCCCTGTCTCATAAAAGAAAAAACAAAACAAAACAAAAAACACCCAAAAGATAGGAAGAAAGAATGGAGCTAAGGTTGTAGCCTCCCTCAGTGGTAGAAACACTTACCTAGCATAAGCAAGGTCCTGGGTTTGATCTCTGGTTTGCACACCAAACAAGCAGAAGTTGGAAAGGATGAAGTGGGGGAGGGGACAAAGAACAGGAAAAGAGAGAAGAAAATATTTTCTGCAAGGGTCAGATAGACAAGATCCTGCACAGGCCCTCGTGTATTTATTGTTTCTTGCAATTATTGGTGATCGTTCCCATTTTGAGAAAGAGACACAATTCACATTCACTAATCTCCCTCCTTTGGAAGTGTTTAATTCAGGATATTTACAATAATGCTACTGTTGCCAGTGGCCATAACCCCATAACGAAGCCCATATTCCCTGGCGGTCATTCCCTTGACTTTTCATTTTGAGGTCTATTGGCCCCTTGTAAAAGCTGATCAGCGCTTTTTTCTTGCTGGTGCTAAGAAGCCCAACACTTCAAAATCAGTTGCCAGAGAGACATGAGTGGATGCTAGTTGGGGTGTAGGTCCAGTTTGGGGGTATCAGCCTTTATTCAGTGTTTGTTTGGAGCCCCGGTCCCTGAAGCCAGCTCCCTGTATTCTGAGGGATCTTCTTCTAGGAATATGTTGTCATTTGCAGAGTCTAAGTCAGGCTCCAGAGCTGGTGACAGACGTCTTCGGAGGTCACCAATGATAGAGGAGGAATGAGCTACAGTGGTTCGAGTATGGACTGACACCAGTCGATTCTGGAAAACCAGAAAATGTTCTGGTGTCCGAAGATGCCCTGCATTGACGCTGACAAGTCACCGAAACCTTGCCATGAGGCAAGGTCTTCAGCAACAGCAGTGTGAGAGTAGTCTGAGAGTTAGTGGAGAGAACTGAGACCCGTGTGGAGTAAGGCTGGTGACTGTCATTTCCCTGCCCAGGGGCCTCCAAGTAGGCATGGGTCTCCCAGGGTCTGTCGAAAGCTTCAGGGTGACCTCCCCATGCCTTTTGAGTTCCCAAGTCTTGTGTACCATCCTGCATGGCAGCAGCCTCGTCACGGGAATTCCCTGCGTTGTTTGGGCCTTGTGCTCTTGCTTCTGGAGGAATGGGACCCCTTCACCCCTGGCTGAGAAAGGAGAAAGTGACAAAAAGAACCGAGGAATGTTGCCACTTAGCAGCTCCTGGGGACGTCTCTCTCACAGGTGTCCACTTCACACCTTCATGCCTGGATCTCAGTTCTCACCCATTTCCCAGTCGGTGTCCGCCTCACACCTTCATGCCTGGATCTCAGTTCTCACCCATTTCCCAGTCCATGTCCGCCTCACACCTTCATGCCTGGATCTCAGTTCTCACCCATTTCCCAGTCTGGGTTAGGTCATTTGTCCTTCGCCCAGGGCAGGAAACTCTTTCTAAGAGAGCAAATGTTCCCAAGTTGCTTCTCTCCTGCTGCTCGGTGCGTGAGCCTGGCCTGGCCTCGGCTCAAATGTGTAATCACACTCAGACTGCCTGCTCTCTGTGGCGAACCACCCATTTGGCTTGTTTCTGTCTTAGGGTTTCCTCCAGGAAAATTTCCAAGTGGAAATGTAAAATAGGGTATTGTGCGAAGAAATGGTATGATATTTCCTCAAAAATTAAAAATAAAATTACTACGTGGTTCTGCAATTCAATTTCTGGACATTTCCCCAGACGATTGAAACTGGAATCTTAAAAAGACGTTTGTACACCCACGTTCACAGTAGCATTGTTCATGATAGCCAAGGAACGTCACAGAAGTACTCCAGCTGTTCATCCACAGATGGGAGGTGAAGATAGTGCACATCAGGCAGCGTGGTTCAGCTTTCAGAAGGAGGGAGGGGGCACAACACAGGGCACATGCTTAGCATGGGCAATGGTCTAGATTCAGTCCTCTCTGTCTGTCTGTCTGTCTGTCTGTCTGTCTGTCTGTCTGTCTCTCTCTCTCTCTCTCTCTCTCACACACACACACACACACACACACATTTTACACATGCTGTAGTGGGCATGAATTTTAAGGACATGATGTTGAGGAAACATTCCACTGAGGCACAAAATTGCCAGATTTATAGACAGGGAGTCGAACGGTGTTTGCCAGGGGATGGAAGAGGGGGACCTAAGGGCATTAATGTCGATAGGCACAGAGCTTCCCTTTTACAAGATGGAAAGAGTCCCAAAGATGGCTGCCGGGGGCCGTGGCATACAACCCTGTGACTGTTCCTAACATCCTACCCTGTACTCTTAAAAATGGTTAA